TTCTAACACCAAGGTTAACATGTTCTGACATCAAGGTTAACACATTCTAATACCAAGGTTAACGTATTCCAACAACAAGGTTAACATATTCACTCTAAATCACCTGACATTCCATCCTTGCCTTATTACTCATTCTCCCAAACAAGGAATGTTGCTGAGAAGCCTCACTTGCTAGCTTCTTTTGCGGCTAGTAATGTCACCCTAAGGCTATGTAAGAACCCTACATATGTGTGTATCTATATTTTTTTGTTGTACATTGCTGTCCGTCTGTCAATTGCCCATCAGCTGATGCTAATTACACTTTTTCTTTCCTACTTTTGCCTCCTGATTTATTGACCTCCAGTCAAACAAACCAAGGTGGGAAGGATTATTCTCCAGGAGGATCTTAGGACTTCTGGCTTGAGGAATTCTCTAAACATCACCTCTTAGACTGACAGAAAGCACATGGCTGAAGTAGACTTTCAGGGCATATGGGTATTCAAGGAAGACTAGCATGTCTGGTGTGAGGGCTTGCCAAACCCTTTTCAGGGCTCCTCATCTACCTTTGGTGTCCACCTACCACTGACCTATGACTTCAAGAAGCTGTAGCTTGAGTAGTGGCCGCACCCTGGTAAACCATCTCAGCAGAAAGGGTTGGCCAGTTTGAGGGTAACTGATGGGCCACAAACCCTGTTGGTGAGTTAGGACAAGTATCTACCCCAAGCACACGAAGACTTTCCCCGGTGGAATGAGTAGATGAGAATGAGTTATTCCAATGGCCATGAAGGTGGCTGAAGCAGGTGCTGTGGCACACTAAGAGCTTGGTCAGACTTTGAAGATGCCAAGGTCATCCACTGCATCCCAGGCCATAGCCAGTCACCCTGACTATTGTCCCGCCACTGGACTTCAATGACTCTGAAAGAGAGAGTGAAGCCGACCATTTTGTGCAAACCAACATAAATCCAATTCATGCTGAAGTCAAGATATCACCCTGTGATGTCATTGGTCCCCTCTGAAAATGAAGGACAAACAACATTTGCTGATTTAGACCTTCTGTGATATAGGAAGATAATTATGCATTTTGATATAAAAATCTTTGTTGCTTATTGGGCTCATAAAACTAAAATACTTCTTAAGTCATTTTATTTCAAGGATATGTATGGTTATGGTATAGGTACCTTCTCTACCAATGCATATGCCAGCTGTTTCCCCTCAGCAGACAGTCTTTGGGAGTTGCTATGAATGAAGAAAAAAAATGCTATGTAGAAAAAAAAGTCACCTTGGGTACAACCAATTAGGATGAGCTTCTCCAAGGTTAGCTTAGCTGATCCTCACACACCAGTCCACTCCTGAACTCATACTCGCTATCATTGCATCTGGGGAAGACCAACCAGAACACATACATGTTCCATTAGGTTGACCTTCAAGAAGCAGGGGTCATCTCCACACCAAGTAAGACACTGAAGTATGTACCCTTTATGTCAACAAATTATTTAATTGAGCTGAGTGGCTGCCATCAACAATAGCTTGGATAATCATTACTTGACTGCAGCTAATTACTTTAAATATAACCTCAATCTATAATCTGTACACATCAAAACACCAGTGCAAAGTACAAGTTGTTTCTATGAGACCAGAATGAGAAACAGTTATGCTCCCCCCAGGTAATTAGCAGCAAGAACAAATAGCATACTTCTCCTGGAGCTTATATTGAGTAGCTTTGAGTTCAAGGGTGGCAAAGGGGAAGGATAAAACACTTTGAGTTTCAAACATGGGAAGTTATTACAGTATTGATTATTTTCAAGCTGCTGAACTGCTTACTGTTATTCATGGCTATCTTGTCTTCTTTTTCTTTTCTTTTAAAGAAGTGTTATCACACGTCTGTAACCATCTGTTCTGGCAACTAAGCATCAACTTAGGGTGTAGAATGACGAGAGAGGATGAACAATGCATCTTACGATCTCAAGAAAACATTTTAAAAGCACAGATTCAACAACAAATATTTATTCAGCACCTGGTAGATGTCAGGCACTGTCCTAGGCAATGGTGAATCAGAGAGAAAAAACAAACAGGAAATCCTTGTTGTCAAGGACCTTACATTCTATCGGGAAGGAATGGGGAAAGGGAGGAGGATATAGAACGTGAACGTAGACAGTAAGTATAACACAGGGTTATTTGAGGAGTTATTAATAGGGTTCACAGAGGAGGTATTCCCTGCACTGAACTTTGAAGGATAGTAAGAATCCCCAAAGGCAGAGATCAGAAGGAGTACATTTCTGTATATCTAGAAGACCAGTAATGTGAATGACGGCAATAAAGAGAAGCTGGGGTCATGTCACAGAGAGCCTTGAATGTATTTTATGTTGAAGGCAGTAGGGAACCATCAAAGGATTTTGAGCAGAAGAGTGGCGTGATCCTGACTATGCCTTAGGAAAGATATTTTGACGGCTATGTGGGTGATGGATTGGAGAGGACAGATTAGAAGAAAGAGGACTCACTGGAAAGCTATTTCAATGGTCCAAATGAAAGGGGACCAGGCCCTGAATTAGAGTGATGGCCATGTGAATGGAATACTTGTTGAACTGAATCTTCTATTCCATGAGATGTTATCTGATTTATACTTTGTTAAGTACTTCATTAGGAAGTAAGTTATTTGTATATTGACTGCTGGGTGATACAGTGGTTAGTGTTGGACTTGGAGTCAGGAAGATCTGAGTTTGAATCCTGCCTCAGACATTTAAGTCATTCAACCTCTCTGTGCCTCAGTTTCCTCATCTGTCAAATGGAAATAATAATAATATAGCACCTACCTGCTAGGGTTATTGGGAGGACTGAAGACAATATGAGCACATATATAGTAAGTACAATGCAAATTGATTTGCAATTGCAAACGTTAAAGCTATATCAATACTTACTATAACAATAATAATAATTATTATTACCTGAGTCAAGGGTTGAAAGTCCACTTGTGTGAGACACAATATGATGGTTTAGTGAGTAGAATTGAACTGGTGAGAAGAAAAATTCTTTTTCCTTTTCTTCCTTCCTTCCTTTCTTTCTTTCTTTCTTTCTTTCTTTCTTTCTTTCTTTCTTTCTTTCTTTCTTTTTTTCTTTCTTTCTTTCTTTTGGCTAGGCAATGGGGTTAAGTGACTTGCCCAGGGTCACACAGCTAGTAAGTGTTATGTGTCTGAGGTTGGATTTGAACTCAGGTCCTACTGAATCCAGGATTGGTGCTCTATCCACTGTACCATCTAGCTGCCCCAGTGAGAAAAAAAAATCACCGAAAATAGTGATTACAGTTTATATTGAAGTTCACAAGTAGCATGCTGGGTAATTCACTTGGTATGTGGCTTGTAGACTACTTCTCTTGGTCTTATTTTGGGCTGTGGGCATCAGTGGAGCTGACTTTCCTCATGCTACATTTTAGAGTCTAGACCCATTTTTTACTTGATTTCAGGATTACTTTTCTCCGTAAAACACAAAGTCTGCTGGCTGCCCAGTAGCTCCTGAGACTAGTACAGTAAGTGATGTGGGTTCAGCCAGCTCCAGATGGAATTGTGAAGCAGACAAAATATGTCTGGCTCCCTTCCATCTCAACATCTGATTCTGCCTTCATTGCTTCCCTTCCCAAACTGCTCGATCCTTGGATGTTCAGTGCATCCATTTTATAGGGGTACCGTAATCAGACTGGCCTCCCTCAGGCTATGCTCTCAAATCTAGCTCTTTCTTCCTGCCATCAGCTGACCATGAGCTAGACAAATGAAAAGCTGATAAATGAAACCTCCTGTATGGTTAGTGGCTGATAATGGCTTCATGTATCGTCCATTAACATCAGGCAATGTTTCAGCCCAAAGGGATGTCTCTTGGATGATAAATTTTCATTCAGTAGCACCAAGTTGTGGATATCTTTTTAGGCAGGGAGGCCTGCCCTTTTCAGATTTGGATGCATCTGCATATAAGAGGCCAGGCATATGGTTGGGCTGTGTCAAGATATTTGGATATACCCTGTTTCCCACAGCTAAGGCCCAGGAAGCAAGCTATGCCCTGAGCTTGGCATGACAATAATCCTTTGTATCCAGATGATCTCATCCTCTGGCAAAGTGTATTGCCTCAACCAGTACCAGGTGTTCACTGAGGGATTTATGATTTTCATATTAATTAATAACTGTTTAGATTTGCTAGAGCTCGCCCTATTTCCCAAGGACCTGAGAGTTAGAAGCAGGTGACACACTGCAGCCTAAAGGCACTCCCACATCTCTTGACATGCTCATGATCCCTGTTTCTTGTAACTGCCAAGTGAACCAAGCCAGGTACTGCACTCTTGTTCCTGCCATGCTAACTTATTCTGTTCCCTGCTGAATGATCACAAGGCTCAACAGCTTAAGACTTGAGATAATCAGCCTGGAGATTGTTCCCACAGGACCGAGGAATGCCTGCACTGTCCATGCATAAGCCTCCCGTGGGAACTGCTACTCAAGACCTAAGAAAGGTTGTGGTCCAGCCCCCCTTGTGGTTTTTATGCATATAAGCCCTTCCTTTGCCCCAGCATGGAAAGCCTCCTTCTCAGGAGTAGGGGGAAGGGGGCTTCGGCTTGCAAGCATTTTCTTCACTCTGAAATAAATTAAAGTTCTGTTTGATTCCTGATTCCCCTGTCTCTTGCCTGCTCTGTTCGGCTCTGCTCACCCCAGGTTAGAGGCCGGTTCAGGTTCAGGTCAGGTTGACTGCTGTTAGCAATGACAAAGACTTTGCCCTCTGGGCTTAACTGGTCTTTACACCTACTTTTTGACATCAGTTCAGGGTTTGACTGTTAAACCAGATAGTTACTAAGAAAATAATCATTACTTGGTTTATAGCCTGACCTTCAGTGATTGGAAATAGGGAAATATATAGAATAATTGTCATAAATTATCACATAGTCTCCCACTGAGGAATCTGAATCCCCCACCAGGAAGAGCAATCCAAAGAAAAGACTAATGAGATTAGTTATCTGGATGGGCCCTGTTCTTTTTTCTTTTCTAAAGGTCTTGGCCTCTGGACCTGAGTCCCTTGACCAGGAGAAGAGGAGCTAGTGCAGTGAAGACTTGAGGGGACAAAACTTGGAAGACTTTTGGCTGATTCTCAGGCAAGGATCTGTTCAGTTTTGAATGTAGGCCTCCTGGGAGGACCCTGAAAGGGTCATAGAGATTTGGTTAGCTGGAATGTGTGTGGGCCATACATTTCTCAGATTCATCGACTTTCCAAGTCCTTTGGCCTTGAAGGAACTTCCATACTGCACTTGGTGCCTGTGGTGAAGGAGACTGAGAAGGAGGAGGAAGGTATAATCAAAGATTTCAGCTAAACTATGAGCTGGTCTCAGCGGAGCGAAGCATTCAGTGGACATCAGTGAGCAGTGTTGAACAGAGATCGTTGTCTAGGTATCAGCATTCTGGAGGATCTGTTTGACAGCATGTAGTGGAGACTGTAAAATGAGAAGGAGCAGGCCCAAACAGGGGACACCAGAAGACTGGTGGGTCCTGGCAAGGTCAGTATCACTAGCAGCCTTGCGGCTTCTGAGGTGTGAGTTACCCCTCTAGCTATGTGCCCAGGCCACCTAAAGTGTGCTCCTTACGTGTCTCCAGTCTTCCTGCTGATGCTGTGTGTGTATCTGAGAGAAAGTGTGTCCCCATCTTAGGGGGAAATGTTTTGTTGTACTTTTTTGCATAATTGTGCCATTTCATTAAAGACCTTTGCTTTGAATTAATTGTGTCTTTGTAACCTGGTCCCATCCCTGCCTTCCAATCTTCTTACACTCTACTCCTCTCCAAGTGCTTTGCGATCCAGTGACCCCATGACATCACACTCCGTCTCCCTGCCCTGCATTTTCACTGGCTGTCCCTAATGACTAGAATTCTCTCCTCCCCCTCCTCTCCTTCCTACCTTCCCTGACTGCTTCAAGTCTCAGCTCAAATCCGTCTTCCACAAGAAAGCTTTCTTGGGTCCCCTTTACTACTGGTGCCTTCCCTCTGTTGATTATCTCATTTATTTTGCATATATCTTGTTAGTATGTAGTTGTTTGCATTCTGTTTCCACCATTAGATGGTAAGCTCCTTGAGGGCAGGGACTATTTTTGGCACTCTTTGCATCCTCAGAGCTTTCTGGCACAGCGTTCGGTACTTAGTTGTTCTGTCACTTAATGAATGCTTGTTGACTGGACTTTTATTTACTGCCCATCTCACAGGACATGGTGACCCTCTGGGACATGATTCTATATGGATTTATGCATGTGTTATAGTTCTCCTGAGCAGACTCTAAGCTCTCTAAGGACTGGGAATTTTTTTTTTTTGGTTTGTTTTTGTTTCCTCAGTGCCTAGTAAGGTGTCTGTTATAGAACTGGTGCTTCGTGTATGCTCATTGAATTAAATAAAATACTGTAAAAATGTAAATTATTTCTATTTGCAAAACATTAACCTACAGTAAGGCAGACCACTTTTAGACCAAAGTCAGAAGAAATAGAATTCTGGGTAATCCTTTTTGTTTTATTCATTGATCTTTGGTTTAACCATTCATCTTTTCCAATATTGGTTTAGGTAAAGAAGCACAGCTCTAAGGTAATTTCTATCAAGAAGCTCATTCGAAACATAGAAAGTTAATGACAGCTTCCTCCTAGGCCGATGGAACATAGTCCAACCACGTCTGCTCAGGAATTCCACTACTCATTTGTTATAGAACTCGATTGGTCTAATTATTACAAAAACATCTCAAGGAGGCTTTAAAGGATCAAGCTCAGACAATTTTCTTTTCCATCTACATGCAAAGAGATTACCAGAACAGACGCAGTGGCATCCAGCTAGAGATTGGCTTCTCCAAAATTTCATTGCCTGAGTTCCTTGGGTCTGGGTATCCACCATGCTATCTTGAATGGAAGCGCATCTGATTGGAGGGTCACATCAAAAGCTTAGCAACCAATGAGTAGGCAAGTTTGGAGGTGGCAGGGGACATAACCCAACCCAACAGACACTTAATAAATATCTGCTCTATGCCAGGCACAGTGCTATGGGCTGAGGATATGAGTCAGAAGAAATGGAATTGTAGATAAAGAAAAAAAAGAAAAAAAAAACCGCTTCCCGCCCTCAGCAAGTTTACATTCTCTGGAAGAGGTGGGTGATATGTACATATACTAACCAGTGCAAAGTAATTTCAGGAGAATCAAATACTAACAACCAGAGGAATGAGGAAAGGCCTTTTGTAATATCGCAGATGAGCAGTGGAAGAAGCTAGAAATTCTAAGAGGTGGAGGTAAGGTGAGAGAGCATTCCAGGACAGAGGCACCGTGAATGAAGATGGGAGCAAGGTGCTTCTGTTCATACGCCATATTGATTGTAAAGGGCTAGAAGAAAGAGTAGGCAGCTTTCTAGTTGTACCAGCTTCCCATCAGTATCCCTCTCAAAAGATAAGAGGTAGTAGTTGAAGGAGAGTCACTGGAAAAGTAAGGAGAGGAATGTCAGGGGTTAAGCCAGAGGCTGGCATGCATGATTTGGATGACAGGTAGACCTGTTGTCTAAATCAGTTTAATGTTTTTCTTTTTTAAATATTAATTTTTTAATTTTTTTTCCTGTTTTAACAAATGAAAATAACATTTGGGACAGGATTAAAAAGCCTTGCTGAAGTTCAAATGAATTGCATCGATTCCCTCACCCTTTCGATGTAGTCCAAATTCTGCCTATCCTTTTTTTAAAATTTAATTTTATTTATTTTAGGGACAAGACTGTGGTACTATGTTCTTCATGTGTGGGTGAAGAAGTGCCTCGGCTGAGAAAATGCTAAGCCATAACACTGAATACCTGCCCAAATGAAGAAGGGATTCTTCAGATGGTTCAAGGACTTCAGGAGAGGAAGTTGTCATAGAGAAAAATGTGGACTTTTGAAGTGGTAATAGGAATCAGCATAGCCACAGACACGTGAGGAGCCAGGCACCAATATGTCTCTTCACTTCTAGTGCTTGCAACCTTAGAGACTGCTAAGAACCAGCTTTCCCTAGATGAGATCATTCTTTCTCCTGGTTTGAGCTGAGATGTTATCTTGTTTCCAGCTGCAAAGCCCATTTACTCTTGTGTGTTCTTTGGTTCATTCTAACCTGTGTAATATCTCTGAGTTCTGTTTACTGCTTATGTTGAAAAAGAAATGTTCTAGCTCTATTCACAAGGGTCTTTTGTGTAATTATCATTGGGTGGGAAGGAACTAAATTGACAATATCAAGCTACCTTCCCCTTGAGAGTGACCAGGACAAATGGCCCTGGTCTTGAAGCCTTAAAATACTGTACCTCCGGACAAGCAATATTTGAGATGTAGCGGATGCCTCTCTTGGACAGAGGAGAGAGAAAGAGCAGGTGCATAGCCACTGTCCCCATCCTCCCCCCCCCAGCTCTCATAAAGGCAGAAATTACAGTCTCCCTGGAAGGAGGGCAGGGGCAGATCTCAGATTAGATAGCTATCCCTCCCACAAGTAAGCCAAACTGTGCTTATTTTTTGACAGCTACTAACCACACACAACACGTTAAAACAACATACATATAGCTGTATAGCTACAAATATAGACATATGCTGCTATATATCTTTATATATAACTCTATGGCCAAATGTTTATATCTATATCTTTCATTTACATTACCTATTTAAAATTCCATCTCTGGTCCACCCCTACTCCCATTCCTAACCACCAGCATAACTTTGGGCAAGTCACTTGACCACTCTGGGTGGGCTTCCGTTTCCTTATTGGTAAAATTTGGATAATAATAGCATCTGCCTCCCAGGGTGAGGCAGATCATGAGATCGTACACATAGAAGACTTTGCACATTGTAAAGTGATATAAGGATATGAATTATTATTTGGCCTCGTTTCGAAGGCTAGAATTGTCCATTCTAGCTCTAAAATCCTGTGCCTCTATGACATCTATCTTCTTTAATGCTTTTGAAAAGGAATATGATTCTATTATCTAATTATCTAAATTGTTTTATCTAAAATAGTTCCAAAATGGATTATCTAAAAAATTGTTGTTTTTGTTATTGTTCAGTCATTTTTCATTCGTGTCTGACTCTTTTGATCCCATTTGGGGTTTTCTTGGCAAAGATACTAGAGTAGTTTGCCATTTCCTTCTGCAGCTCATTTTACAGATGAGGAAACTGAGGCAAACAGAGTTAAGTGACTTGCTCAGGGTCATGTTGCTAGTAAGTATCTGATCCAAAAGATTAGATAGTATCAAAAAAATTATTCACATTTGGAAAACTCTATCTTTGAGCATAGATAAGTCTACTATTCTGGGAGTTCATAGTGCTTTAATCAAAAAGTAAAGTTTCACTGGGAAAAAAACTAATTGAAAGGGGATCAGGAAAGTGGTATAATTCTGCAGGGTTGCTATCTAGCTTAGCTCTTCCATATTCTTCCTTCTATACCAGGAATGGACACCATCACCTCTCAGATGAATGGATCACAACCATAACAGAAATAGCTCTCCATTTCTCTAAGGCAGAGGGACCCCACAGTTAGGGAATGTACAGCAATGGAAGCGTGAAATGGAAGGAGTGTGGACAAGGAAGTCCTGCCAACAAGGCTCAGAGCAGGGCCCAGGTCAGGGGAATAGCCCAGATTCAATTCAATCAACAGACGTTTATCATGTGCAGGGAGCTGGTGAGGCAGTTTTGAAAAATGAAGTTCCTACCCTCCAGCAGCTCTCATTCTAACTGGCTGCATGCATTTATTCAAAGCTGGGTAATTATCAACCTTGAATAATATAACAGTAAAAGTCCCCATTTCCAGTTTGCCGATAGGATATTGAATTTTTCTGATATCTCCATCCCTCCCCCTCTGACACAAACCTTCAATCTGCTCATTGGTGATAGCGTTAAAGTGGAGTGGACTTGACTGGTTGTTCAACAGTAAGACCCTCCATGTCTTGGCCCCTGACCTCTCTGACTGTCCCCCATGTCTGCAACGCTCTCTCTGTCTTTGACTCTGGCTACTCACCTGCCTGGCTTTTTCTAAATCCCAACTAAAATCTGGCCTCAGACATTTACTAGCTGTGTGACCTTGGACAAGTCACTTAATCCTGTCTGCCTCAGTTTCCTCGTCTGTAAAATGAGCTGCAGAAGGAAATGGCAAATTACTCCAGTATCTTTGCCAAGAAAAGCCCCAAAAAAGTCATAAAGAGTCAGACACAACTGAAAAATGACTCAACAACAAAATCCCTTCTTCTGAAGGAAGCCTTCCCTAACCCCTCTTCATTTCAGTGCCTTTCCTCTGTTTATTATATAGCTTGCTCCGTAGACATTTGTTGGCTCCACCATTGGAGTGTAATCTGCTTGTATGTAGGGACTGTCTTTTGCCTCTTTTTTGTTATTCCCCAGTGCTTACCACAGTGCCTAGCACATAGTAGGTGCTTAATAAATATTTGATTGACATTAAAGCTGCCCAACACCCAGCACACAGTTTCTGGAAGGGCTATTCTGGTCACATTTGAATATGCAATCAACATCCTTGCCATGCTTTTCTAACCCCAAGAACCCTGTTTGGCTGGGACTATGGGGGCTGGACTCATTTTCCACATCCTGTTCTGTACCCAGGAATGATGGGAGTGAATTCAGTCCAGGCTAGCCATCCTACTGGGAAGCTAATATTTAAATCTCAGAACAAAAAGTAGATTCTCAAGACTGCTAATTTACCATCTTATACTTTACCTTTGCCTGGCATTATCCTTACAACTCCATCTGTAAGACAGCTAGGCTCAGGCCAGTCCTTTTGTTGATGGACACCCTCTATAACACAGAAACTTCCTCCCACCTCAACCAGCTCCAAGTTGACAGGGCTCAGTTTCCGGACCTCTACAATTCACAAGATGGCTTCCAATCCTGGACATGTCTACCATGGGATACTTGTTGGCCTAAGATCAGGAAAGAGCAAACACACAAGAGCAAGCCAGGAACTGAAGTGAAAGCTTGCCTAATTGTGATACGTCCTCACTGCAGCATGGCGGCCAGGTGGGAGATTGGGGCAATAGTTCTGTTTCTCCCACTTGACTCTCAGGACAAGACTCAAAAGCACCCAAGTGATTTGTAGCCGGAAAGGAAGAGAGGGTGCAGAGAGGTGGCGACCCATTTTCTTTGACCTTCTACTTCTCTGGCTCAACAACCGATTAGGAGATATCGTTATTTCAGAGCAAGCCCCTCAATGATGAGTTATATATGGCAAAAGCTTCCCTCTTCCCTCCTGGTTTCTATGTGGTTATCAGGAATGATGATTGAGCATGTTCTGTGAACGGGGAAGGGCCCCAGTTATACTTTGATAATAAAAGTCTATAAAAGCATTGCAATAGTTCAGTTCTTTATCTGAAAAATAATGAGGAAGTAATTTGACACTAGCATCTTTGGTACAAAGGACAACTCTTTTCCAGAATTCAAAGCTTAGTTTAAAATTTTTCTTTTCCTTCTGTTCTGCCTTTGTGTGTGTGAAAATGTGTTCAGGTTTTAGAAGTTCATATCCAAACAAGGAGTGGTCCTTTGTTGTTTCTTCTGGTGGTCTTGTGCTTTCTCGTCTTTCTCATAATCTTCATGACCAAATTCTCTTACATATTGCTCTGTTCCAGTAGAAAGCATGGTGGACTTGAGTGTTTTTGCACTATTCATTTATTCATTCATCCTGTCCTGGCTCTGTTCATTACTACCTGTGTGACCTTGGCCTCATTGTCCTCATCTGTAAAAAGAGGGTGTTTGACTACATGGTTGCTAAGATCTCTTCCACATCTAAAACTATGATCTTGTCACCACTTCTGGGTGGACAGAGCACTAAGCGTAGGGTCAGAAAGACCTGATTTCAAATCTGACCTCAGATACTTATGAGTTGTGTGACCCTGGGCAAGTCACTTAACTTCGTTTCCTCATCTGTAAGAGCTGCTGCAGAAGGAAATGGCTAACCACTCCAAGTATCTTTGCCAAGAAAACCCCAAGTAGGGTCATGAGACATTTCTCATGACTGAACAACAACAATGTAGACATCATTCAGGAGATATTTGCAACTTTTAACTTCAGCTGGCAGTCTGGAAGTGACTGGATCTGGGGGTGGGGTGGGGCAGAACAAAAAGAAGCCGCCTGGGGCACCATGACTGCAGTCCTCCTGGCCATTACATGGCCTGCTTGGCCACCAAGCCGCCAGCATTCTGGAGAGCAAAACTTTACCATCATATGGCTGCTTCCCCATTATGTCTTTTCTATTAAAAAAAATAAGGGTAATTTCCTCCCAAGAACAAACTAACTGCTGTAGACAATGAAAAAGGACAGCACCTCACTACGCTGGCTCCCGGCTGCCGTTCATTCCTGGTGAGGAGGCACAAGTGAGAATTTCCATGACTCATCATTTGACAGGACTTTAAAACGGAAAAGTGATTTTCATTTCCCTTGGAAACTAAAGAAGAGAAAACCGGGGCTGGGGGTGGGGGTGGGGGCACAAAAACCATGTTCAAGTGTTTGAAGGAAGGATTGGACTTGATCCATTTGGCCCCAAAGGGCAAAACTAGAAGAAAGAATCAGTGGAAGTTTGTAGACAAACAGGTTTAGGGCTGATGTAAAGGAAAATGTCTCGGTTATTAGAGCCATCCCAAAAGAGAGAAGGAGAGCGTTCAGAGAAGGAGAGCATTCCTCTCCCTAAAAGTCACTGGGGGAACGTGGGATAGGGAGGATGTCATAGCAAGATCCTAGAATCATCCAGCTCACAGTCTGTAGAGCAGATCTGGAGCAGTAAGAGACCTTAGAAGTCTTCAAGTCTAACCCCTTCATTTTACAGATAAGGAAACTGAGTCCCAAGGAAGGGATTCTCTATCAGATATAGGATAAACCATAATTCGGAAGTCCCTGCCAGATGTAACAAATACTGCCGGTTTTTTATTTTTTTAAAGTACACTGTAACTAGACTAGAATAGGGAAGGGAAACCATCACCCTACAGGCATGCTCTGGTTGAATATAAATGGAAAAACAAAAAAAGCATTTAGTAAGCACTTACTATGTGCTAGCCTGGCGGTACAAAGCTAGGTCATCCTTACACTCCAGGAGCTCATACTCTAAATAGGGGAGATGACACGTATGAGAAAATGCAGCTTCGGCGAGGTTGGCAAGACGCGGGAGCTCTTAGGTTACCTTGTAACAGGTCCCCCCCCATCCCCTCATCAGAGATATTCTTTCTGCCCCGAAGAATTGAGTAGAAAGTTAAGCATGTGCAGAAGTTGCCTGCCTGTTTCTGGCTGCAAATATATTTGCTGGGTGGAGTCCTCTTGACTGCTGGTGGATGGAGCCAGACTTGGATGGCAGAAGAGTGAGTTGGCTTTCAGCAGGTGGCTGTTTTGGCTTCCATACTTCAGGCAGCAAAATGTG